TAAATGATGACTGCTCCGAAACATAATTATGATAATGATCTATGTGTGCTTGCGCTCAGACAAAACCGAAGGTCAAAATCGGATGTTGGTACAATGACTTCACGTGGTACCTTGGGTTACACAGAAGTGGATCAATTAGGGCTGGATTGACCCCTATTTTCCCTGCCAGGAATACATGGGATGCATGACCACCATTCTCCCATGTGGCTGATTGCAGAGGTGTGAGACCAACACCAGCAGATGCCATTATGTATACTTTGCACTGGCCTCTTGAAAGTGTCCAGATGTTGCAGGAGTAATAGTGTTCACACTTTTTGCAGCTTCAAATTCCTATTGCACCATTTCCAAATTTAGTGACGGATTTCATGAAAAAAGGGTTTTGCCTGGAAAGTAATCTGAATTGAAAAAATTGTTTTAGTCAAGAATGTTTTTACTTTTATATTTGTCAAAATTATTATTTCATCAGAGACCAGAAACACCAAAGAGCAACCTCAAGAGAAATATGCGCTGTACACAAATCAAGCAATGTGTTATAAATGGATTGAATATGTTGTCAACAGATCTCCGATATTCCAATACCCTCACATATATACTCCGCCTCATATTTAGGCCAATGACAAACGATGCCTGATCCAATATGCAGTAACTGAATCCACACATCTGCAAGATAAATTGTTAATAATGATTATAATGCTTCCCAGTACGCCGGGCCGTAACTACCAGCGTGCAATAATCAGTATCTATCAATTCTTTGACATGAGCAAATCCTGAAATAAGTGGCTTCATTAGATCTTGGTGGAATTTTAATTTGCCTGTATCTTCATCAATTGTGAGTCACAGTGCTGTGTATGTAAGTATTTGTCATAACATCCTTCCTGATAGTCCGGCACTTATTGGTCCTTGTGGGTGGGGCTTGCGAGACCAACTCAATTCTCCGTACAGCGCAGTGGTAGAGTCGTCACAGCTTGCACTATAGCATCACAGCTCCTCTATAGCTACAATGTATACAGTTGTGCCTCCACACCCTGCCCCACCGGTGCCGCCAGAATACATGTACTACCCCCCAGGACAGCCTGTCATATATACCGTCAAGGTGGGACATATATACAATATCACGCTAGTACTAGCGTTTTCTGTAGCCATATTAACTTTTTACTCTTTGTTGTGTCCTGCCATTTTGATGACGAATGTGATTAATATCCTGGTTTTGCCATACGGGACGTATAGATTAATCTGCACAAGTAATGTAGATTACTGTTGTGCAATTCACTCGCAATGGTTTGGATGATAATGTTCATGATGGTTTTTGATAATCTGCTTGTTGGATTGTTTTGTTAAAAAATTGTGACGATCATTTCATGTTTTATCAGTGAACAGCACCTGATGTTTACGATGTTTTGATGTGTTCGCAATGAGAGCTGTTTGTCAATGAGGTATAAAATGACTTGGATCTGTTTCGTCCAGAACATATATTCATTTTCACAAAACCATTATGAGCTTATGGGACCATTACCTATTAGTGTGAACTCTTATTATGGCTCCTACCATGCCTTTGGCAACTGCTGTGGTGTACTTGTGGAAGAAAGAATTTTTATGGCTTGAAGTCTTTGTAACTTTTGATAAATTTTGTTGTGTGTGTAAGTATATATATTTCCTTGTCATGATGTCTCTTTGTTTTACAAACTGGCTGTCCTGTTGGATTTGTTACAATGCTGTATCTTTGTGTGTTTGCCAACATTTGGAGCAGCCAGATAATCACCATATATGCTGACATGCTTGTATGATTAGCAATATGCTATCAAAATCAATCAGTGTGAGTGATGTTTTTGCGATGTGGCAACTGAAAGTGTGGAGAAGTGCAGAAACTGTTTTTATGTTTGGTGCATAGAACGTGTGAAGACAAGGAGATATGACTGCAGCATCTGTTATCTATGGCACTAGGAATTCACAACTGGGATGTCCACAACATCTGTTGCAAGTTCTGGAATAATCACATGATAGTAAAGATAATTCATGCATCACTTTGTGATGGGTTGACGTGTTGTGTTCCTCAACAATCCATATTTCGGTCTTGTTTTCCACTGCCGATCCGGGTCACTGCAGAGGCAGGGACGTGTTTATGAGCTATGAAACCCCCCCCAGGATTCGCCCGGGATGTCCTGTAGGGAGATGAAAGAGGGGGAGGGAGCAAGCTGTTCCTCACTGATACGATCGACAGGAAGCAGTGCCTGTCCACAGCCATTGTTTACAGTCATCTACTCGCATATGATATCATCCCAGTTGGACTCCCAGCTTCCCCCTCTCTTCCTCTGTTGGTGAAAGTGATAATTACATCCTTGTTTCGTTGCTGGTTTTGAAACTGAATTAAATTTGCATATTGTTTGGCCTGATTTGTACATGCAGTTTGTTCTTTGTTCTGAATATTGACGGTTTGTTCTTTGTTCTGAATATATGCTATATTCTGCTGAGGCATTATGAAGTGCGGAACTGCATACTTTTGATGTAAATTATAAATACATGAACTACGAGGGAACCATGTCAACCATCACAGTGAGAAGTGTTGACTGATAGAAGTTACAGTAAATCTCTTTATGGTCTTCTTCCAACTGGACTGGTCATTCCATACACGGTTCAATCTTTCTCATAATGACCAATACTGATACCTGCTCAGATTTCATCTCAGCCAGTCAATGAAGAGTGTCAATGTCCCAGTTCTAATGATTATTATGAGAGAGAGAGAGAGAGAGAGAGAGAGAGAGAGAGAGAGAGAGAGAGAGAGAGATCAGCCACATGGGAGAATGGTGGTCATCCCATGTATTTCCATTTCAATTTGTGGGAGGAATATGGCGACAGGTATACTATAGGGCTTTCCCTGCCACGTAGATATGAAGATACATACAATAGAGCTCTCTATTTACTACAAATATAAAGATATATACAATAAGGGTGTTCATGTCAGGTACATTATATGGAAATATGAGGTTTATTAGTTTGTTGCATCTGTCAAGATATACACCTGGAGAATCCCATTATGGTTCTGATAGAACTAATGTACATCTGTCACCAAGAAGATTCTTAGGCTCTGGTTGCTTTGTTAGAAGCTAAGAATGGAATGTTGGGGAAAGATTACCATTGTAACAATGTGGTACATATAGTCAGGTGTAGAAACAGAGCAAAGAAATACCTCAACACAAAAATGCAGAGAGAGAAAGGGCCTTGGGCTCTGGTGTAGAGTTGCTGATGATACTTTGTGATGGCTGTTAAGAGAATGATTTTAATAGCGTTCCATCACTGAGTTTTTGCAAGGAGGAAGAACAATTTTCTGAACCCTGAGGAAAATATAGTTTATCATGTTTACTGTTTAGGATACTGAGAAGGATTTGAATTATTCTTTGCATTACCAGAGCTGGATTGTACCCTTTAACTCTTCCATCTTTGGGTTTGGCATATTCATTTGTTTTCTGCCATTTGTTTAATGATGGCAGAATATATTTTTACTGTTTGCAAAATAGTAATAGTGAGTGAGTAGGGTGTTTTCATCATCAATATGCATGGCAAGTGAACACCAAGACTGGACTTTATACGCTGGGGAATAGAACCTGGTCTCACGCTTGACAAGCAAACCTGTGACTACGTGGCTACCCATATTCCATGCCAGTCTTTGTTGAGTGGAATCAAGCTCGCACATGATGTATGGGTAATAAAATAATCATGTCCTTTCTGCAGTATTATATCACAGGACCATTAAAGTTCCATGGATTATTGGGGAAAAACCACCTTTTGTCTGGGTGTTCTTTATGTGAATGTTGGAAGTATGATGAAAACTTAATAGATTCCTATCTGACTGATAGATTATATGATGCATACTGATAGTGATCTGATCAAGAACTTGCTAGAGTGGGTTTTTTATTTGGCTTGCAGTGATCGGGTTGTAAAGTGTTTAATGGTGTAAGCAGCCATGAATTATTGAAGCAGATTATGAGCTGTACATTATTCTCAAAAGGTTAGAAGTAGATTGGGGAGATATTCCTAACAACTGTTGCCCCTAACAACCAGAAACCAGTGACAAGGAGGTAATGCATTTGATACAATATCTCGTATTCTCTACTAGAAACAAGGCTTGGGCTGCCTTGAAGTAAATCTGGTGGGGAAAATGTCCTTTTTTTTGTTTATGGCAGGAAATTGTAGTTGTCCTGTTTCAGTGAAATGTTTGCCAAAATATGAAGTATGTATGTGCTGGAACAGATGTTGTGTCTTCCTGGTGGTGATCATTTCAAGATGGACATTGTGTCACTGAACAGATGAATACTGTGTGTGATAACCGTTTCAATATCCCTCATTGCTCATTAACAATTAATGATGTGTTCTACACAGATATCATTATGCGGTTGTGCTCTGTGAACAAGGTGTACTATTTTCTTTTTGCCGCGTGATAATGTTGAAATATTTACCTGGCTATTGTTTAACATGTCTCTTGGTGGCGAATATCAGAATTAATTGATGGTGTTACGAACCATATTGCTGCAGAATACATGGTTTGTTGTCTGACATTTTGCCTGATTGTATTAAGTGAGTAGGATGAGGAGACAATAGTTTGTATGTACTTATTATTGAATATTACTTTACAAGAGGATATCACGCTGTTCTCACAGTGTTCCGACAACAGTTTCAGAAAAGCCTAGCTTGCGGACCATCTCAGTGTTAACAGTAACAGTGTAACAGCAGCAGCAGCAACAACAACAACAACAACAGGTCATTGGGGGAATATGGCATGTTTTTACTGGTAGCTGGTGCTGTTTCCTGGTGCTGAGGTTCTATATTGAACATATATTGCTTGCTTGTTTTACAGAGGAAAACATTTTTGTGATGGCGAACCACATCTATATAAGGAAACTATCCCCACATTCTTCCTATTTGTGACTTGTTCATATTATGGTGACTTTTCTTCATGATTTGTGATTATTGTTTGTGATTCATGTATTTTTGTTGTTGTCTTGCAGAGAGGATCAGAAGAACTGATGTCGCACAGCCCGATGGTGACGAACGGCACAGGGATGAGCCCTCAGCATGCTCACAATTCTGACATCAGTAATGATGCCAAGAAGGTAGGTTGCTCAATTTTAAATTGTTATAGAACCCTCAAGTAGGACTTGGGTGTTTGTTTAGAACTTAATTTCAGACACTGTCAAATTAGGACTTTGGTTGTGACTCCCAAAAAGTAGGAATAAGTGTGTTACGCTCCCCAATTAAGACTTTAGTTGTGAGTGAATGAGTGAGTGAGTTTGGTTTTATGCCGCTTTTAGCAATATTCCAGAAATATCATGGCAGGGGACATTAGAAATGGTCTTCTCACATTGTCGGGATTCAAACCTGGGTCTTGGGCGTAACGAGCAAACGCTTTAACCACTAGGCTACCCTACCACCCCACTTTGGTTGTGACCCTCAAAAAATAGGAATTAGGTGTTGGCTCTCTTAAAGTAATGCTTAAAGTATAACAAGTTTTGGTTGATTTCTTGTTTGAAGTCCGGTTTCTTGACCAGCTCTCCTTGAAATGTCAACTGGGGTCCAGATGACCTTTGTTTGTAGCTGCCTTCAGTAGCCTTCAGGAGAGCACGCTTTACAGTTCAGCTTGTCGGATTAATTGTTCAGTCTCTGGAGGATTCAGCGATCGCAGAGAAAATTACAGATTTCTTTCTTGTCTGCAGATTTCAATGTTTGTAACCTGACATACATGTAAATCGGCATCTTGAACAACAATCGACATGTGCAGGTACCACACCATGTATAATCAATCTATCTGTATGTCTCCTGCTGACATACAGCATGTATGTCAGCATGTTCGACACTAGCGTACAGTATCTGAATCTGTACGTGCTCACAGGCATACTGGTGTATGTTAGCAGTGGAAATGATGTGATGTTCAGCCCTGGTTTCATTGTTGCTGGGTCTGATGCCTGCAAATGTTCACAGCACATGCTACCAGCCTGGCTGCTTCTCCTGTGTCACTCGTTAGTTCTCAGCACCAAAGAAATTGGATATTTGGGTGATTACTGTTTTTGTGTTGTAGGCTTTAAGCCCTGTTTCTGTGTAGAAGACATCCACTCGTGGAGTGGAAAGCAATTTAGAGAATATTAGGAGAGGATTTTCTTTATGATGAAGTTTAATAGCTTGAAGATACAATGACTGACAGGAAGTCATCAGAATACCATGAAAGCTGCCGTACTTACCGCGTGAGGTTTCTGTCAGAAAACAAGTTGTGATATTTTGGGTGAATTCTTAAACTCGTTCTTTCTTTTGCTGTCCAAGGACCGCTTTAGGTTTTGTTGTCAAGACATGTCCATTGACCACTGTAAATCTCACATACCACAGTTTACATGTGAGTGGTGACTGCACTTAGACCTCACATACTACAGTTTACATGTGGGTGGTGGCTGCACTTAGCCCTCACATACTACAGTTTACATGTGAGTGGTGACTGCACTTAGACCTCACATACTACAGTTTACATGTGAGTGGTGACTGCACTTAGACCTCACATACTACAGTTTACATGTGGGTGGTGGCTGCACTTAGCCCTCACATACTACAGTTTACATGTGAGTGGTGACTGCACTTAGACCTCACATACTACAGTTTACATGTGAGTGGTGACTGCACTTAGACCTCACATACTACAGTTTACATGTGAGTGGTGACTGCACTTAGACCTCACATACTACAGTTTACATGTGAGTGGTGACTGCACTTAGACCTCGCATACTACAGTTTACATGTGAGTGGTGACTGCACTTAGACCTCGCATACTACAGTCTACATGTGATTGGTGACTGCACTTAGACCTCACATACTACAGTTTACATGTGAGTGGTGACTGCACTTAGACCTCACGTGCTACAGATTCCATTTCGGTTGACTGGTACTTTCACCTCATGAGCAACACCAACATTGTGTGTTTGAGGTGTCCTCCTCCAGCTGTGACTAAAGCCATTAGTGGAGTGGTTAGCAGAAGAAACGCCAGGTGCACTTGGTGCCATGGAGGGCAGGCTGTATTTTCGGACTAGATGGTACCTACCGCAAGGGGACTGCAGTGCAATTGCTTGCTTGCCTTGTAATTGGTTGAGTACCACAGTAGGACTGGTGTCAAGGCTGCCATTATGTCCCTCTGCCATGCATGGTAACTAGAGGCCTAGAAGAGAGGCCCATGCAAAAGGAAACCAGTCATTTGAATTTCAAAATGTCAGCTTCAGATATTATAGCAATTTGACATTTGGTGATACAGGATTGTAATGACTTCTAATTCCCAGATTCATTGGTGGCAGTGGTATTGTTAGTCCTGTAACAGCAATGAAGAAAATTTCATTAATCTGCCATTCCCTCAGGACATCATGCATAGCCTATAACTGTCATTTGACCTTTGCTTTGTGCAGTTCAGTATAGATACGGCCAGAACAAGCACTTCGGTATCTGACACTTTCTGAAATAATATTTTTGCAAGTATGATAATCCTGTTTTAGTGAAAAGTTGGTATTTGGAACAAGGATTTATGATGTTTCGAGTATGTTTTGATGTTTTGGGAACGTTATGAAGGCATCTTGCTCCATGTTGAGTGCACTGATAAGTCGATGACTCTGTCTTACACCAGACATACACCATATTCTGACAGTTTCTTCTCGCATTCTTAGTGAGTAATTACCCTGCATATATTGACGATAAGAGACCATGAAATGTCTGTGCGGCCATTACAACATCATATAGATTGGTTCTCACAAAACGAATTGTAACGGTTATCCATAATTTGTCTATGGTGTCTGATCATTGACAAGCCGAGAGCTATAAAAGACCAATGATTCTTGTTGTCATGACATCAAAGTCTGAAAGCAGATTGAATCTGAATGGAGCATTCATTTGTGGTGTGATTTCAAACCCTTGCAATATTTGAAAAATAGGCTAGCTACAGAACCTAATGAGAGGATGGAGAATTCTGTTTAGTTTGTTCGTCCAAAATGTTTTTAAAGTCTTTCTACTGAAAGCATTGACATTTGTCTGTGATTGTGAAGAATTCTCAATGAAACAGAAGCTTGTAGACTTGGTATTAGTGACATTTATGAGGTGGACCAAGATTATCAATTTTTAATGTGGTCCTGTTTGGTGTGAAACATTTAGGCACATTAGCTACCAATATCTGCTGGTCCCTGGGTCTTTTGTCGCCAGCCTAGAAGCTGTTGCTAGGCAATAGCCCCATGCCCTGGGATGTCACAGCAGAGAATAATTGATTCCAAAATTAGCAGCAATTGGAGTCCAAAGAATTAATATTGTCAACAGCTTTTACCATCCTAAATGTCAAAAACTTGAATTGTGTTTGTAAATGTCAGCGATACTTTGTAGCTTGTTCTTTATGGTAGTGCGAGGTCGTGTGTTCAGGTTGAATATATTTCCATACATATCCCATCAAAATTGTGTTTGCAAATGATTATGCATCAGCTTTGAGATCTGCTACAACAGAGTAGGATGATGAGATTGTGTTAAGGCCTTGTATTTACATGTTCGTTGGTTTAGGAGACGAACCGACAAGAAAAAAAAAAATTAGAATGAAAGGGAAAACAACCTTTGACCACTCAAAAATTGTCTGATACTGTTTTTTACACTTTGGTGAAATGAGAAAAACACGATATTTTATCACCGCTGTTCATAAGAAATGTGGAAAGTAAGACATAAAAAATCTTATATTCTAACAAAAAATTTTAACTCCATTATATTCCATATGATGCCATGTTATAACATGTCTCTCTCATTAGTATGAGTACCAATATGGAAATTTAAATAATTATATTCAACCACCAAAATTGAATTTTAGGCCAAATATTTTGTAAATCAACTCATAAAAAACAGAAGGCCTAAGTTCCCGAAGCAAAGTGAATTGGGCTGTTGGGTCAATGCTGATAATGTTTCTAGGATATCAGCAATGCCAATGACCTCATATCACTAAATATACATAACTTACAACATGGCGCTTATAATAATGGCAGCAAACTAGGTTTCATGACCAGTTGATTGCTGATTATGATATATGATGAGGAAGAAAAAAGTATCAGGTCTTTGAAAGGCATTTAAAAGTGATACACATAAGGAAGAGAATATATGGATGCCAACTTCTTTATTATGAGGAACATGTTTCGGTGTATATGCTTACTCCTTCATCAGGAGAAATGTTGTGTTCCTCATAATAAAGAAGTTGACGTCCATATATTCTCTTCCTTAAAAAAAGTATTGTTTTTTTTTTCACTTTGGACTTTTTTCTACCTTTAAGCAGCCATGCTGTATTATTTGTAGAATATTGTTCATTGTGTCATTGAGCCTTATCTCACTCAATAAATATGTGTTGGAGGTCCTTTACAGCAAGTGTTAGCAACACGTCAAACCAGGCAACCAGATGTTTTGTTTGTGTACTAAGTGGATGCCAAGCAATGGTTTACAAGCTGTACATGTTTATATGTGTTACTCGATGAGCTTGTTGACTCTTGGTTCTTCCCGTTCTAAGTCCTGCCATGTCGTGCATGAATTTAGGAATTAGGCGTCGTTTAGGGAGATAAAGGCACTGCCAAATGATATTATCGTGGCAATATATGCTGTTTATTTGTTGACATGATAATAAAACTGTTTGTGTCTGTTGGGAAACATTGCGGCCTGAAGAATCATTATGAGAACATTCAACAGATGTATTGATTTCAGATTGGAACTGGTTGTGAGGGAAGTAGGTGGAGAAACCTTTATTGTGTATAAGTGTGGGGTCAGATACTGCTTTCTTTCCACAATGATATTTATGGTGTTGAGGGAGGACTGCTATACCTTGCAAGTCCCGCGACAGTTTCATGGCTGAGTGAATTGGTTTCTGTTTCTGGCCTTGCAAATATTTGGTTCGTTGTTAGAAGGGTATTTATGTGAAAGTGGCAGACTGTGAGTTTATATGTGTTTACCTCAACCCCTCTCCCGGTATCTATGGTTTCCATTTGTCGCTGGTACAATAGCCGGAAAGCCAGTGCGCCAGACAAACCTCACCACACTGATTGGAAATGAAAGAGACAGCCTCGTTTGGTGCAAGCTTTGT